ATATATATATATATATATATAGGTATATATATAAACAGGTTTTACATTGTATAATTACTTTCTCATGATTGTACTATAACGTACATATGTACACTTGATAATTTAATTACATTCGATTTTAATGGATTTATTGTTAAGAAAACTAAATCAAATATTTTCATATTATAATAATTTTAATAACATTTCGAGAAAGATAAGAAATATTATACATATGTATATCTTCTAATATTTATGATTTTTAGATATTAAATAAGTAAAAGTTTTAATCTCATATATGCTAAACTACGAGCTCAAAGAGCTCAACTATTGCCAGAGAATTATTACGAGAGATTATACGAGAAATCGCGATTTATATACCTAAGAAAATTAATGGTATGGAATGTGTCAATTAAAAGATTAAGGTTTTGGTTGGTAGAGAGTTCTTTGTGTAAATATTTTATTTTTAATCTCTAAAAATCATAAATTCATTAGAATATATAAATTAAATTAATGTTCCTCAGAAACAATATTATTAGTATTAAAAGTGATACATTGTCATAAATTAGGGCACGCTGACTGGCAAAAATCTTGCTCTATCACCAACTTTTGGCTCAAATCTCAGATTCACTTTCTCGCTATCTTCATCGCCGACCTCGAGGAAGGTATTCCAGTCTACGAGAAAATACAAACCGCTTCTTCGTTTGGTCGGGAGAATAGGATCCGGTGCACGAGTAGTACCACCAAAGGATTCTTCCAATGCCATGAGATTTGTACTTGCAGATGTCGATAATTCCGGAACTGGTGTCAACACATCACGGAAGTTTGAACCATCTTTCGTAGAATCTGAAGTCACCGGGATCGTGGTCATAGTCGTCGTTGTCGAAGAAACGTTGTCTACAGATTCTGCCGACAAGATCTTTGATGAATTGATTTAATTGTACTTTCATTCGTATTTTTTATGTTGTATTTCTGAGAAAATTTTTCAATGCTCTATTGTAATAAATGCTATAATTATACGGTGATTAAAATTACAATTTAAAATTACGTGATAATTTCGTGAATATTGATATTGAACTTGAGGTACAAACTAAAGTAATTTAAGAGAAAAAAATTAAACATTACAAGAAATGAAATTTTGACAAAAGTAAAAAGTATGAAATAAAAGATAATAAAGGATATTGGATAAAAAGCGTTGAGAATATTTAATAAGTTTTATCATTGATAAAGATATAAAAATATGATAAAAATATTTTAGTTAAAAAAAAATTAAAAATGAAATCTTAATAAGAAAGATATTTTATTATTTTATTTATATAAAAAGAAGATTTATAGTAAAAGGCTGAAATTGCAAATAACAGTTGAATCGAGAAGAATATAAATAAAAATAAATATTCTAACTTTATCTTTGATAAAGATTTCGATAAAAGCGCACTCTCCCTCCTCTCTCTCTCTCTCTCTCTCTCTCTCTCTCTACTGAGTTTTCTCTATTTAATTTATCGCAACGTATGTATATATTATGCATGGAAGAAGAAACCATCTTCAAAGAGTAAATTTTTGCTTAGCCATCGCGTGATTGGTAGCGATGATGATGACATCGAGCTACAAACCGGTTCGCGTGCGAGCATACATGCATCCAGTATTCACATGCAACATATCACATGCAACACGCACATGCTTCGGGGACAAGCACGCAGGATGAAAGTTGTATATATCTAGTTTGATGCAGTAACGTATGCATAAGGAAAAGTCTACGTGCAAAAATTCTCTTTAAGAAACATTGCTTAGATAAATTGCATGCCAAAACATATCAGAATTTGTCATATTAATCTGCAGTTTCAATTAGATTTATATAAAGACCAAGGTTTTTAATAGCCAGAGAAAATTAAGAGAATAAGTATTTTTAGTTATGATATCTTTCAGAATAAATCAATTTAATCGGGAGGTCCCATAATCTTATTCCCCATGTTGGTTAACATGCTTTTAATCTTCGCCAAACCCTGAATAATCCGTCCAACCCAAAATTCCGAACTGCCCAAAACGGATAGCATAAGTCTCTTTATACCAGTAGATGTGGTATTCGCAAGAGCTCGATCGTCATTGGTAGTGATTTTGGTTTCTTCCTGATTCTGTTGTCTTTTGACTTCATTTTTTACGTCTACGTTGTAAATTCCAATGATTTCTTCTAGAGTCAGCGGATCCGGCCCATCCTTTAAAGTTTTTGTGGTAGCAAGCAAATCGTCGGCTGCTCTTCGCACGTCCTTTGCACTTGCTTTTCCTTCCTGGATTAATCTGATTTTATCTAAAAGTTCGTTGATTTTCATTTTCTGTTCTTCGTCCTTTACACGGACTTCGTGCGGCTTAAACACGTGAAATTTAGTTGTCTTTGTTGGTTCTATATTCTCCATCTTTAATGTCGTTCTCGATGTTTTGCGGGATACGAGACCTATATTCTCTAGAATTTGCCTCATATTATCAGGAACGACCTCGATCAACGACGGCCGTTCTGTTGACACTGACATGGCCTTTTTTTGTCTGCTATCGCTAACGCCAAGTCCAAATTTCGCTAAAAATTCTTTCATATCTTCGTTTTTTATCCTAGATGTTGGCAAAGGCTTGAAATTAGTATAAGAGTTTGTATTAATGGTCGACTTCAGCGTGGACGTTGTGGTTGTTACCAGATTGGATGTTTGCAAACCAAATCGTTGAAAAAGCAATTGTACATCAGGTGTTAGATTGTTCATGCCTTTTCCGAGCTCTGAAACAGGATTCTCGAAAGTATTTATCAGCAATGGTGAATCAGGTATAGCAGCTGTCAGACTTTCGGAAGTTGTATATATTAAACCGTTACTGTTAGGAATTTGCGATTTTATCTCCAAATCTTCTCTCTCCTTATTCTTTTTAAATACATCTTCTACATTTGTAGCATTTTTCGGCCGAAGTCCAATTGAAGCAAGTAGTTCCATTACTTCCGGGCGCATTGTTGTTGTTGTTGTTGTAATTCTGCGAAAGCCTCCGGAGTTTACATTGTAAGTGGAATTATAAATATTTTTTAATTTCTCCGAAGGAGAAGAAGAGGAGGAGGAGGAGAGAGGGAGAGGAGAAAGAGGAGAGAGGGGCATTGGTGTCACGTAGATAGGAGCTGATTGTTCAGCGTTCACGATTTGCATCTTTTCAGATGTTATTTTTGAAATTTCTGGAATGTACTTAATATTACTGGCCATATTTTCCAGTGTGTTTGACATGTGTGTAGTAGCAGTTGGAAAAACTGGTTGCTTGTGACGAATTTTTTTAAAGAGCGTATCTGGAAGTTTCGCGCGAGTTAAGGTTGTGGTACTTTGCGTTGTTGTGTGTGGTGCGTTATATTGCCATTGATCAACAGATAAAATGTTTTCATTATGTTTTAAGGGACGGGACGTGATTTCTGGTCTCACGTTAAGCACTGTGACATTTTTTTTCTCTACTGTTCGGGGGGGAATCGTTGTCGCACTCGTACTATATACTACATAGACTTCTTTGTCCTTGGTTAATGAAGATTCTTGGAACAGTTCTGGTCGACTAGTAGCAGTTGCTGGCTTTTCGGTAAAAGCCGGTTGCTTTTGCAGATTTTCCAGATTAAAGCTAAATTTGATTGGCGCTGAATCAAATTTTAGTGTCTCCTGTAAAGGCTGCATGTTTGAAGATGCTTCCGAATATGTTTCTTTGTGATTATTATATCGCGTTTCCCCAGCTAGATTTTCCTTTGATAGATTTTTCTCTGGAGCATATGTCACTATAAAATTTTTAAGAAATTGTTTATCATATTGCGTTTCTTGCGTGTTTGTCTGTAGTTTCTTATTTCTCCACGCTTTCAAGTCTTCCGGATTGGAAGAAGAATCTGTAATTAATTGAACTATCGGCGGTTTAGTATATAAATCTTTGATACTTTCCTTCGCGTCTTCTGCGTTGTAAGGCAGGACTACCATCAAAGCCTTTTGATAGATATTTCTTGCTTCTTCAAATGTCTTTTTGTTTTTGTATGTCTCGAGATCTTTGGACGTAATATTGAAAAGTATATCAATAATTTCACGTCTATTGAGGTGTGGCAAAGTGGAATTTTGACGAATTAATCTTTCCACTTCATCGATCGTTCGGTTGATTGAGTTTTCAACTTCAATTTTTGATGGGAGATCGTTGCACTGACATAAGCCGATGACAATCAGCATGCAGAATAGCACAATCTATGAAAACAATAATCATTTGAATTAGAAAATATCAGAGAGAGAGAGAGAGAGAGAGAGAGAGAAGCATTAAGTTTTTATTATTACTACTATTCAAATTAGATAAATGAAAAAGTTGTGTAGTTATTTTTTAATAAGTAAAGAAGGTATTATGTAAGATATTATATGTAACATTATACATATGTGTATAAAGTACCTGTATAATTTATTGTATTAATTTTTGAATAGTCTTAAAAGATCTTATTATGATTAATTGCGCAGAAAAGTGCATGTTGGATTATAAAAGAAAATAAGAATGATTTTTGTTTCGTTAAAAAAATTAACGAAACGTTATAAACCACGTATTGCGCAATAATAAATTTATATTTTATAATTTGTATCCAAATATTAAGTAATGTTATTATGATTAGAAAAACAATTTTTATTTAATTTCAACAAATATAATATCTTTTATTGCACATAATATTATTTACTTCATCAGTTTGCGACGCTTGCTCAATTATGTTAAAGAAGAACGAGTTCAAGATGTATGTCAAAGTTGTTTTTCATATTTATGAGCAAATATTGCAAAAGGAGCCTTGACTATATTACTGATGTCAAACAGTATACCTATACTTGATTAATTCTCTCACCATCACCTTTTTGTGATATCTATTTATATTATTTTCGCGATTTACTTTTCTCAGGTATAAAATGCAATGAAATTTGCACCTGTATGACGTACATAAATATGGAAATCTTTTCTTGATATATTTTTTCAAATTTGTTTCCAGAATTCCAAAATTCCAGAATTTATAAATTTTCTCTGATGAAACTTCTCTAAAAAATTAATAGAGATATTTATTTTAAAACTTAAATCATAAAACGCATTATTTTCTAAAATCCATTTTAGATTATTTATATAATTTGTGTCAGAAATTTGAATAAAGTTGTGTTTATATGTAATTATATACATATATAGAGTGTCCCGAAATTCGCGAATCAAAATATCATAGCAATTAGAAAGTCTTCGAAAAATTAAGTAAAAAAGTTATTTGTAAATTTTTAATTTAAGTAGTAGTTTTTGAGATATAAGATTTTTAATTTAGCAAATTATAGATTACGATTAAACGGAAAAATATCCGTGAGCATGTCGTAGTGTTAGCAGTCGCGCACTTCACGTGAGTACTAATCTATAATTGGCTAAATTTAAACCCTTATATTTCAAAAACTATTGCTTAAAATAAAAATTTTCAAATAACGTTTTTACTTAATTTTTTGAAGACTTTCTTGCTATGATATTTTGATTCGCAAATTTTGGAACACTCTGTATATCTACATAATATTATAAAAATTTGAAGAATCAGAATAAACACACATAAACATACATGTATACAATGTTGGATTATATACAATAAATAAACAAATGAAATAAATTCTCGAAAACAGTAATAAATCATTTTTATCATTTTAATGATGAAAACTAACAACTAAATAATATATTTTTTTAATTATAAATTGTATGTAATAAAGACTTATTATTTTTATTATTTTAATAAGTTAAAGTTAAAAATATGATTGCTAAACAAAGTTTTTAAAATGAAAAATTAAATCTGTACGAACTTTAATATGATGCGCTTGAGAAATACAACGATGATTATATAGAAATGAAAAATATGCTTAACAAGTGTACAGTAAAAACGTAGCCGGAAAGAGCCAACTTTCACATTTCGTGCGTAGTATTCAAGAATATTTAATAGTCTCTTTGCAATAAAAGATCATAATATTTGTAAGTGATTATGTTATTTAGAAGTGAACATTTTATAATCTATGCGATATTATATATATTAGGTAATGCGCATCATATAATCTTTTATTAACAAATTATTAGACAGTTAAACCATTAACAATAAGTGACATACTACTTTTCGGAGAATAAAAATCGGTTTTTAATAGAATTTAATATAAGTACCATAATTTTCACAAAATAATTCTATATTAATATTACAAATTTTAAGTAATTTTATATATACTTATTATCTAAATATCATTTAAAATATTTAAATAACAATAATAATATTGTAACAATTATTCAAATGGCTATTTCATAAAAAGATAAAAGCAAACTTAAAACGATATTTTATAGTAATAATTTTGTATATAGAAATGTAAATTTTTTGTTATATAACATTCACATGACATACCAAAATATTCAAATGTTGTTAAATAAATTACTTTCAACAAGCCGACAAATCGGCAATGTAATAAATATCATCTAAGATTTAAATTTCAAAAAAATATATTCACTTTAATAACGCGTAAAAGATCGCTTTTTAATTTGAAATAATTCTACAGAACAAGTTACTTTGAACACTTTTTGCACATAATGTACTAGTGCACGTGGCATTGCATAATAATTTGAATATAGCATTAACACATAAAATTTGCATACAGAAATTTACAATACTTTATATGTTTTTATTGACAGAAAATGCGTTATTGGTTAACAATAATCGAAAACTCACCATTATGCCAACCAATCGTCCAGACACGTAGTCGACAACTGACTGTGTGAGTGGCTCTAAGGCCTACTTTCAAACTCTCTCTATCTTACTCACTTGATTCTCCTTAGCTGCTCTGACGCACAAATACGCGTCCATCTGTTCACTTTGCCAGTCAAGTCGAGTATTAACGTTGAAATGTACATACTAAATTCGAAAAAGACAATGAGAAAGAAATCTAAAATGTAAGGATTGTATTTTATCAAGCATGTAAATATTTTCATCATCAAGTCAACTTTTGATGCTGCAAATATATTATTCATTATGTAAAATATTTATATTGCTTATTATATTTTTAACGTTTCAAATGTATTAAATATATATAAAAATATATTAAATATGTATAAAAATTATTTGTATGTAATCATGTCATTTTTTAAATACAATAACGAGATTTAAATTTGTCAAAATGACCTGAAAACATAAAAAATTAAAACAAGATATATATGACAAATTATATGTGTTTCTCATTATCTAATAATAGATATCATTATTGTACGTGTTAGATATATGTATATATGTATATATAATGTAAACATAATATTTTGTGTTAATTAAAAATGTCAAGGATTGTATTTTTAACGTGGTATTTTAAAAAACAAGAAAATATTTGAAATATCCTCACACTCTTGGATAATCTCTTTGATGACATAAACATAAAAAGAAGAAATTAACTTTTCTTGCGACGATAGGAAAATCGAAATTTATATATATTAAACTGATATGAGTTACTTTTTTTATTTTATTCTTCTTTTTATACTTATTCTCCTTATAATCAGAATAATTAATTATATTTAGTATTATTTTATTATTTACACATACTATTAAATATGATTATACCGACGTTTGGTACGCAAGTTAAATATTGAGACTGCAGTTTATACTAGAATTACTTGAATCTCATGATGATAAGAGTGGTCTATCGATTGTTGGTGTACAATTTTTCTTGAAGAATTACTATAATGAATTAAGAAAAAAATTGTATTTCTAATTTTCTATTATTCTAATATTATTAGAAGAAATACTATTTAGCTTCTCTGTAAGTATTATGTAAATAAAGTGTTATTGTCTAGAGTATTAACGCAAACTTTGAGAAACATATGTTATTTCATGTTTAATAAAATTATTTCACTTGTTAATCCACTTGAATAAAATTAATTATTTAGTTTATATTATTATTCATATGTTTAAAACTTAAAGTTTACTGCAATGTATCGATACATGATATTACAGAGGGAAGGGGGGGGGGAGAACTATATTATCCAACTACAATATTAAAAATCAGCCAACAATATTTATCTTTCAATTGTTATCAATGTAGTAATTAAATTATTAGAATATTATTAGAATATGTTTAATGATTTTTTAATTTTATTGATAAAAAATAAAACTCACCACCCACTACCACCATCCACGACACCTACTCATCACAATCATTTTTTATATCATGTGATTATTAAGTAAAATTTTTTTTCACATTTTTTTATATCATGTGATTTTTAAAGTAAAAAATTTTTCTTGAAAAATTTTTATATCATATAATTTTTAAAATAAAAATTTTTTTTATACTTACTATCACCTACCACCACCATCACCCATCACCACCACCTACCACCAGCACTCACCACCACCCACCACCAACTCCCACCACCACCACTCACTACCATCATCCACCATACCTATTGTTCACGACCATT